CGGAACCTGATCCAAAAATATCAAAATTGTGTGAGGAGGTGGTGGTGGAGGCAAAAAGAGAGGGAGGAGGAAAACGAGTGAGGGAAGGAACGGGACGAATCAGGTGTGCGGATGAGAGAAGAGCTTTCAATGTGGAAACGAACGTACAGCCATCTAGCTGTTTCATTTGTACCTGCTTTGCGTGCGGCGTTGTTTGCCAGCTGTAAGAACTGTAGCCTGATTCATTTAGCTTACTGTGTGGGAAGCTACACTGACCTGCAGAGAGAATAAAAGTGCCTGGCAGAGACGAATCTCATCTCGTATTCTCATCTGCAAGATAGTACCAAGAACTTCCCTCTGAATTACGGTTTGCCGTGATATTACCCTTTAGTGTAAAATCACTACTTGTACGACCAGTGCTGGTGGACCAAATACTGCATATATATACAGATAAGATGCCGGCGATAACAGAGAGCCTTAGGAGTCCTCTATGGGACAAAGAAAGCACGGTAGATTTTCACGGTACAGTAGGAACGAGCATTAACAATAAATCACTGCGTTTCATGGTAAATGATTTAATTCCAGATGTTTCAGAGGACATTCTCAAGCCGATGCTATCATCAGAACAAAATGCCGCGACGATGAACAAGACGCTGAGCTTGACAGACCAATTATTTCCGTGCTGCTACATACCAGGGAAAGGCCAAAACAATTGCATCAAAGGAGACATGCATCGTCTGCAAGGCAACGGTGGTGTTACAGCAACTCAGCGAAATACCGGTTTTCCACGTTTAAATCAAATTAACGCAGCCAAGTGGGGGAAGCACTTTTATGTGTTTTTGTCTCCCACGCCTCTTTTTTTTCGCGTGTACCTGGAGTGCCGCAAGCTGTCCTTTTTGTTCTTAGCGTTGCAAAGCGTGCACTCGCAGCCTACGGCGTGCGGCCGGGGCAGCGAGATGTCCTGTTTCAGCAGCATCGTCAGGATCTCGTAGTTGTTCCTGTGGGCTGCAAGGATGACCGGAGCCACATCCATCGTGGTGGAGTACTCTGGGTTCTGAATGCGCTGCATCAGTTTCTGAAAGCGATAGAAGATCCGAATGTGCGTTACTGTGCAGAGGTTGTACACAACAAAAAAACACCCCGTAACAAGACCGTAAAGAGAGGAGACTAACTGCGATGGAGGGCTTGGAGGATCTCCTCGGCCTGTGGTTGAGGAGGATGTCCACAGCTCCCACCACCTCCGAGTCTATGGCCACCAACAAGGCGTCCGTCGCCTACGCGGAAACAAAGGTCCTCAGAGCCGATCGGGCAGCAGGTGACGTGCCAAACACAACCGAGATAGCGACAGTATTGCTCGCGCGTGTTTGTGTGTGTGTGCGCTACCTGGCAGCCATGTTCCAGGAGCAGCTGCAGGATGTCCAGATTCTCGTTCTCGATGGTGATGGTGACGGCGTCCCGGCCCAGCGCGTCCACGCAGTTGAGGTTGAGCTCTCCGTGGCGGTTCTCCTCCAGCAGTTTCTTCACCATGTAGTAGTCGCCTGGAAAAGCCCGTCGGAGACAAGGCGACATGAAGGGAATGCGCTCACGGGAGCCGTCGCAGAGCCACATCTATAACAGCGGTGCAACGTCGTCTGCGGCCGGCGCCGAACAGACGCGGCTTCAGTCACGAGGCGGCCGCTCGCCTCCAGCGGTCCTCTTCACCTCATTCGTGTAAAACAATAACATCTCCCTCAAAGGAAACCTCTCTGCTGCTGAGCCGTGTTTAGAGAGACTGCACATGGTCACACTGGCAGTTTGCTGGCCTGTTCACCCTCTGCAAACCACTGCCTGTTCGGGACGCTCTCAACTTAACGTTACCCACGCCTCTCAACGCCTGTGCCCTACGTTCATCTCAGCTTTGCGTGCATTCCATTCCCTACGAGGAGCTGTGAGAAATCAGCGGAGCAGGACGATCAAGCTGATTATTTAATAACCCCTGTGGGCACATCTCCAACATGTGGGCAGCTGCAGAAGATATTTACAAGTTGTTGGTCATGACTGGATTGATCTACACCGCTAAAGCTGCAGAAAGATGTTAACTACTCAGCATTATAAACCGACAGCAGCGATCTGATTGCGACATCAACATTGCGACGGGCATCAAAACGAGAAGATGATCTCGTGAGCGTAAGATTGGGGTTTACTCTGGAGAGAAACAAGATGATGCACGAACGGCAAACCTTTCTCGCACGCCAGCAGGAAGAGCTTCTCGTCCAGCGTGGTTTCCTCTTTCACCTCCCTCACGTCTTTCAAGGCCAGAAATGTATCCGGAGAGGAAGCCTCCGTGCCCTGGTACAGAGCTGCCATTACGACGGAGAGCGAGTACGGCCAAGCGCTGATGTGCATCCCACTAGAACCCGGCGACCATCAAACACGAGAAAAGCCCGGCCGTGCGGGGTGACATGAGGGAGGGGGGGTTTTGGGGGGGGGGGGGTATTGGTGTTTGAGTGATGCGCGTGTTGTCCGTCGCAGCTTCAAGCGCAGGATTTAACGCGTCGTCATGCCGGCCAAACCGATTTGATCTCGTCGTCGCGTTTCCGTCGCTCCGTTCGCGCGCATCTGCAGGCTGAAAACCCCCCCAAAAGGACGCGTTTTTTTGTTATTGTTGTTGTTGTTCTTCTTCCGTTGTCATCCCCGCACCGAATTCATTCAAAAGGTCCGTTTCGTAGACGACAAACAGACACGGTCACCCTCCCTCCCCCCCACACCCGGCGTGTTTACATGCACCATCTTCTTGCATCGCGAGCTCCCGTGGATCACATTGGTCCTGATGCTGCCGCCGAGGCTGCAACTGCGCATGTCTCCTCCTCCACCTGCGCGTTCATTTCGCAGGCTCTGAATGCACGGTTACGTAACAGGGCACGTCGGTGCAGCCTTGGAGGCTACTGAACATCTTTGGTGTTGTATGCATGAGGAAACCGTGTGTCTGGTCCAGCGGTATTCACAGCATATGGGCGACATAGAACATCATGCTTTTACTAAATCACATGCAAATGGAATGTGACAAAGGAAGAATAAAAAACCTTGTAGATTGTGCAGGATTGTGAGTGTCAAGGTGTCCTTAAAATGTATGTGTCTGGGCATGCACGCATACATTATGTAAGGACACTCACAATGTAATAGAAACAGTCATTTATTTATACAATTATTAATTATTTTAATTATTTACTCACTCTGTTGCTAATGAGGTTGCCGTCCGGCTTCTCATTAAAACATAAACCAGAATGTTATAAATCAACTCAAATAGACTTCATAGAAAAGCTAACAAAATGTCCATGTGGATTGAAACAGCCTGTAGTAATTAAAATTCATAGAGGAGCCTTTTTATTAAGTGTGCCTTTTTTAACAAGGTTTTTCCAGTCCACTTTATTACCACGCAATATGCAAGTGGGGAAAGAAGTCTTGTATCTGCACTTTATTAGCCAACAATAAGGACTCCGAGAACTACTCTTGGTTAATTGGACAGAATGCGCACAAACTTTAACAACATTATTTAGACAGTTATTTGGTGCGATGTAGTGTCACAATATCAGATTTTCCAAACTGAGGAAGAGAGGAAAATTTTTTAAAAAATGTGACAGAAAGCCTGAAAGGTGCAGAAACTCTTCGACTATATGGAACATACATAAGATCAAATATCATTTATAAAGCAGTATACATTTGTTACATAAACTTTTCAATCAGCCTAAATGCTGGTAAAATTGATTATTTACATCGATTAGGTTTTGGTCATGTATAAAGTAAATAAAAAGGGAGGTTTGTTTTGTCTCGAACAGAAACATCTTGCTCCAGCAGAGGGCAGCATGCAACAAGGTTTTTGTTATTTGTGTTGTATGACTAATACAAAATGAGTATGTATGTAATATAAAATTGTGGTACACTAAACAGAGCATAACAAGTAATTATTCACCGCATAGTTTCATATCCAACCTTAATCTGAGCTCTTTTCATAACGCAGAGACAGCTGCAACTGACCTGTGTCTCTTCTAAAAATACAATATATGTATATACACATATGTTATAGCTAATCCTAATTAAATCACCAAATATTACGATAAAATCATTGAATCTCAATCTGAATACTATAGCGATTACTCATCAGGGGTCAAAGGGCCCCACCTATTTCACTTTCCTTGTTCGTTCTTTCGATGCTGTATTGCCTAACTGGCAACCCTCTCGAGATGGTTTTCGACCTGCACGTGGTTTCCTCTGTTCAAACACACGGCCATTGCAGCTTCCCTTCACTCATCAGTTCCGCAGGAACAGCTGTTAGATGTCACAACTTGGCTGATTCCCTTTTGAGTTGTTTACCCGTGACTGGATCCACTGTTGTTCATCGTTTCCAATTACATACTTCATTATTTCAACTCAAACAACACTACTCTAATAGAATATACTTTACTGTGACGTGTTTATGGTTTACTTCTAATCAATCCCAGGATTTTCCCTTCAGGGTACGGTGCATTTTGAATGTCTTTCTATAGATTGGGACTGCCCTCTCGAGGCTGTAGTAAGGGGAAAACAAATGAATGTAATTTGAAATATCGATTCTTCTCTGCACTGTAGTAGGAACACACATAATAGGGATGTAAAGACACGTCTCTTCTTACGGTGAGACACAAAAAGACCAAGACAAAGGGGACGGGTGAGCTTGAAACGTTTTGGGCCAATCAGTCCCATATTCAGCACTTGCACCTGGTGTAAGTGTGCAGCTGCATGCCTTTAAAAAAAAGAGAAGGGTGGAGCATGTAAACAAGGATGCAGCAGGCCGGGCACGGCCTCTCTGGAAGCACAACAACAGCATCATTTCCCACCGTCTCCCATTGCTCGCGCTGGGAGGGAGACGCAGCGGGACTGACGTGCGGCGGATCCAATGGCGGTGGCTCGCTGACGCACGACGCCTCCAATCGGGCCAATAGGGAGAACGAGAGCCCCCCCCCCCCCCCCCTTACGGTGGGCAGGTCTTTCTCCTTGTATTGGGATTGAGTCGGTTCTAGTTTGTATTAATTGGACGAGCGGAGCCGCAGGAAGAACGAGGAAGAACGAGGCGCGCGCGGTACCCGCGGATAACCGACCGGAAGATGCGCGTTGATGCGAGCAGCCCAAACAGAAAAACGCGCGCCGATTCGTGACGGTCTTATTGTGTCCGCGATGCTCCAATCTTAGCAGGGGGGGTGGGGGGTCCGGGGGGGGGGAGAAGAGCTGCTTTCGACGAGGATGCATCAGACGGCAACTGCGCAGGGATGCCTCCGCGGAACGTCGGACAAAAAAAGGGCGTCTGTGACCACGACGGGGGCTCCTTCCTCTCTGCTCTGAGCGCGGGCCGCCTGCACGGAACCACCGCGACGCGCGCGCCGCCCCGTCCGCGGCCACCAGGAGCGTTGCGCAGTGCAGTTGAAAAACAAAACAAAACGGGCTTTTCGATTTGGACTTCCAGAGTACGCGAACCTAATGGGCCGCCGTGCAACCGGGCATCGGGGTCCCAGTGAAGGCTGAACGCTGTCCGGCCGGGGAGTGCGTCGTCGGGGCACGGTCGATGCGAGGAGCTTACGGTGTCCGGTGGTGAGAGCCACCACTGCGAGGGGCACAAATGAGAAGCAAACAATACCATCAACCGCTGAAGTTGACAGCGCCTTGGGAGAAAGATGCTGGCTTCGGGAGGAAGCTTAAAACCTACAGGAATCACACCAAGATAATAGCGCAGCCCGGGATCGTGATGAAAGTCCTCCGCAGGAAGAGGATTGTGTTATTCATGGCCTACTTCTTGCTGCTGCTCTTCACTATGCTCAACTTGGCCAATTATAAATGGACCAAAGTGCCGCAGCAGTGCAATCACCAACTGAGGAGCACCACTTATCAAAGCAGGTCGGACATTCGCTACCTGTACAGGCCCTCGTTGGCTAAAAAGAGGCAGCTCATCTACGTTCTGACCACCTGGAGGTCGGGCTCGTCCTTCTTCGGGGAGCTTTTTAACCAAAACCCTGAAGTGTTCTTCTTGTATGAGCCGATGTGGCACATCTGGCAGAAACTGTACCCGGGTGATGCAGCGTCTTTGCAAGGGGCGGCCAGGGACATGCTCAGCTCCTTGTACCGCTGTGATCTGTCTGTGTTCCAACTTTACAACAGCCCCGGGGGCAAGAATTTTACCTCCCTGGGACTCTTTGGGGCCACCCTCAATAAAGTGGTATGTTCATATCCCCTCTGCTCAGCCTACAGGAAGGAAGTGGTGGGGATGGTGGACGATAAGCTGTGTAAAAAGTGCCCCCCTCAAAGCCTTAGACTGTTGGAGGAGGAGTGCCTCAAATACGGCACCATAGTCATTAAAGGGGTTCGCATTTTGGACGTTAACGTGCTGGCCCCGCTCATGGAGGATCCATCCTTGGATTTGAAGGTGATACACCTGGTCAGAGACCCGCGGGCAGTGGCCAACTCCAGGATCAAATCAAGACACGGCCTGATAAGGGAAAACCTACAGGTGGTCCGCAGCAGGGATCCCAAACTACGCCGGATACCTTTTGTGGACCCGAGTCACAAAGCCAACAAGAAGGACGGCGCGGACTACCACTCCATAGGAGCCATGGAGGTGATCTGCGACCGCACCTCCAGGACTTTGAGGACTGCCTTGAACCCACCCAGCTGGCTGAAGGGAAAGTACATGGCGGTGCGGTACGAGGACCTGGTCGACAGCCCGGTCAAGACCCTGCGGAGCATCTACCGCTTCTCCAACCTCACGGCCAACCGCGACATCGAGTCATTTGCGCTCAACATGACCAGTGGCTCCAGCTCGTCCTCGAAGCCGTTCATAGTCTCGTCCAGGAACGCCACACAGGCCGCCACCGCATGGAGAACGGTTCTCAGCATTCAGCAGATCAAACAAGTGGAGGACTACTGTCACCATGCCATGTCCGTCCTGGGCTACGAAAGAGTCAGAACCTCCGGGGAGGCCAAGGACTTGAGCAAATCACTACTGACTTACTCCAAACTGTGAAAACCTACTTTTCCACCAAAGATTGATTTGACGTTCATTTTGCATCGAGTGCCGTTTCCCCTTTTATTGTGGAATTAAAGCTTTACTTTAACTCATTGTTTGAGGAGCTCCGCTGGCCAGATTTGGAATGTATCGTGTTTCTCTCTGCTGTGGAATTTGAAGGGACCACTTCTTTTATACTGAAATATTGGATGTGTTTGACAATGTGAACAATGACTTAATTAGTTGAACCTGCAACGGTGGGAAAAAAAAAAGTACATTCATGTATGTAGTTATGATGACACTTCAAAGTGCATATTCTGAGGTTATTTTTGAATGTTCCAAACCTTACAAAAAAACAGTTTTTTTTCAGCCTCCATACTGTCTGTAAAATTGAAAATAGTTGACAGAAAGAAAAAAAAGAAAGAAAAAAAAAGATTAAAAAATAGCTCATTGCTAATGTGTATTTGTCAGATCTGGTTTCATTCAAAGTAAATCAATTAATTGGTTTGTTGCTGTGCCATAAGTAGAGAGGTGTGATGACCAGGCTACATCAGAACGGCAGTAGTGCCATTTCTAGATTGAAAAAAAAGAAGAAGTTGTTTTGATTTCTGTCATTAAATCCTGGTAGGATGATGTCATGCTCTGTGGATGATGTCATGGCTCTCTCTCTCCGTGTAACCATTCTGTTCTACATTTTGAAATGTTTACAATTGCTTGCTCTTATGAAAACACATGATCTGGGATTATTGCATCAAGTAAAGTTCACAGTTACCGAGGAGGTTCATGCGTCTGTGTTGAACAATCCATACTGCTGTACAGTACATGTCGAAATCCCGATCAGAAACGTAAGCCCCGGACCAGTGGCTCTCAAAGTGTGGTGCATGAGGCAAAGTCAAATAAAATCCAACGCGGAGAGCCACTGGCCTTAATCAATACTATTTTATCAAAAGAAAACGTGCGCTATTAACGTGTCTTTTTAAGAGGTTTGTAATCATTTTGTTCTTCACTTATGAGATTTTTCAAGGCATCCATTAGTTCAGTGCATTACGCATCACTGTGCCTTCCTTTGTCGCTTGAGAACCATTGTGCAGGAATAGCATCACACGTCTCGCTGTTCGCTGTAACTTAACTTAAAGGTGCCCCCCTGTGGAGTTTCTGTTTGCATTCAGCTTTTCTCGGCCCAACACAGCATGTGCATTCTTGAGGTCTAAGTAACGTGTTGATTGCATTTCATTCCTCATAAAACAATTGCAAGCAACTATGAAATCTGCATTGTTAACTTCAAGGTTTACTTTTTTTTTGGTGATTTGTTGCTAAACGTCTTATACCGTGGAACCATTGAGAGAAATGTGTGTCCCGTCATCCACTTGAAATGAAATGAAAAGCATGAGAAGAAACAACAAAAGACACCACACTTATGTTGCTTTGTGATGTTATTGGTGCTCGTACACTCCTTTTAATTATGCATCATAAAAATGTTAATTATTAAAGTCAGAAACACTGAATTCATTAGATGGCAGGAGTAATTATTATAGATACTTTAACCTCAATTTTATTACAACACAGCCTAATGGATTTCAGATAATTGGCTTAAATGGGAAAATACATTCATATCTAATCACAGGAATACAAAATTAAATGTTTTCGTACTTTCAGCAATTCACACGGAAACTAGTACGATTGTACGACAATGACAAATGAAACAAAAACTAAACCTGTTACTTTAGGGGTTGAAGTGAAGCTTGAGCATCTCTTTTTGAGAACTCAGAACAAAAATGAATTCAGACACCATTGCAATCAAAGGAGGAAGCCTTGTGTCTCTCTGCATCAAGTGGGCACTGCAGCGGAGGAGCATGTAATTAGTGCACCCATGCATTCACAACATGAAATGGAAGGCCTCACTTCAAGGACAACGACCGTGTGGACAAAGACGAACCTTCACAGATCGAATGCGTGCAGTACGCAGCCTCATGGTCTAATGACTGAGGCAAATGCTGTTAACACACCGTAGCATTTGGAATTATTTAAGCCTGCCGAAGAATGAGCAAGTCGTTAAATTCAGAGGAATACATTTTCAATCAGTTAAAATGATCACAGCTGAAAAGAGTGTAATACAAGTTTAATAAGGAGCTGTGAGAGGAAAGCAGAGTTGGCACAAAAATCACATTTTAGCTGATTGAGACACATTTTGTGACTTAATCGATCACAATTCTCCCTAAAGCTTGAAGCCAAGACTTAATGTAATTGAGTGGCGTGAAGCTACTTGCAATTAACATGTGACTTAACATCCAGTGTTTTGCGTGCTGTATGAAAATTACGCTGAGCCCTCACAGGTCAGCTTCCTTCCTGTTGGTTGAGTTATCGAGCCCTCAATGGCAGGATTCTATTCTATTTCCTTGAAACCGCAGCAAAACAAATCGAGATAATCATCAGCAGAGAAAGAGGAACGGCCTCTGTAATTTCGCCCTCTGTTTGTCGTCTTATGCCTTCCAGCACAAGGGGGAGAGCGTGACCTTTTGGGGGGGGGGGAGCATTGTGACGGCGACGCCTGCTCGGCGTCTCTGTGCCGCCTGCTCGGCGTCTCTGTGCCGCCCCCCGAAGGGGGAAGTCTGCTGGTTTCCGACTTGAAGAGTATGAGCGCCGGCTTTAACTATCTGTGACCTGGTGAAACTAGTGGTGAAACTGTTAATGCTTCCAGTTCTACCAGCAATAATGTCGGCAGAACCAGAGGACATCTACCTGTACCTGTATCTACCTGCACACTCAGTGGGATGTGTGACATGTGGTAGTTGTTATCTTTCACTGATGTGTTTTTGAGTGTCCATAAAGGTTCAGAAGAGGGCCAATCAGCTCATTGACTAAGTCAGAAAGTACTGGTTAGAGTGAGTCATTATTTTCTACTGGGTGGTTGTAATAAGAAATGAAAGCCCACAATTAGGTGGGAAACAAAGAAAGACTTTCCAGGAGCGGCTGCAGGGATGCTAATTATTTTATATTTTTATAATTATTTTAATTATAGTATCTATCTATAAATACCGCATATGAGGGACAGAGGAAGAGCACAGAGACGAAGGTGAAGAGGTAGAATAGGGGCGGATAATAACATCCTACTGACCTGTGTGTGTGTAAAGCTGAATAACCTTTTCCTGACCCTGAACTGTTAAATGGACGACAGACAAATAGATAGATACAGATATACTTATAAAATAGAGAAAGTCATCCATTCTATTATTTGAGTATCGTTTTCGCTCTGCGAACATATTCCCACCTTGAACAAATTGTTCAAATCTCTAACTCAAATTACTCAACCGCGTTGAAAAATAGGCTTCATTGTGACCAGCTACCACATTCAAATGCCAAACACAACCCTCTCCCCGGGGACCAGACTGCGTCAGGAAAGGCTGCTCATGCACAGTGGCAAATGTCAGCAGCACACACATCTTGAAACGTCTGCCACTTCCCTCTGTGACTTTTTTTTATTTAGCGTTGTTCACGCCTGCTACCGTTGCATATTGCGTAACACCACAAATGGGAGCAGGAGAGGGTCGACTCACAACCACAGGCTCACCCGGAGACCAAGCCAACCGCGTAACGCGGCCAACCTGGGTGGCCTCTGGGATGCCGGGCCAAAAACAAAAACAGCGGGGGGGGGGGGGAGATCAGACGGGCTTTGAAGTCGGGGCAAAATCACCGCTTTGGAGCAAAAACTTTTGTCCGAATGAGCCTCAAAGACCAGGCCTAAGGAAGCGGAGGAGACGCCGGCGAGCCGGGCCGAGGCTCAATTATCTGTCTCCGTCACCTGGTCAGAGCATCTCTTTTGTATCCTTTTATTTGGCAGGAATAGAAATCTATGAGCGGGCCTCTGCCTTGCAACCTAATCACAGCTTCTCTCACACGCGGCATCACACACACACACACACACACACACACACACACACACACACACATGCACACAGACACACGCACACAGATTCTGTTGAATATATGACTGGTTGGAGACATCTAACCAAAGCCAGACGGGCGCGGCTATCAAACACCGCAATGTTTGCAGTGTGTCACGTTATGTGTGTGTTATAGCTTAGTTATCTATGCAGTGGATACTAATGCTAGCCCGGTCCTGTCCTGGGATGAACTATCCAATGTGTTGATACACTTAGAAAAAAAAAAATGAAACAAAGAAGATGTAACATGTAGGAGTCTGAATACGCCTCCACCGAGCGATAGGATTGAACATTGAATCCAGCGTACATTTCTGCAAGGACGAAGAATTTCTTTTGACAATAAGCAGTCGGAAAATAAAGCTTGAATCAACGTTCTCAGAAGCTGAAAGAAGAACATAAAGTAAAACATTAGGTCTGTGCTTTACAGTGATTTCAGAATGAACACAGCCACATTCATCTCTTCTGTATTTAGTAGTTTAATAGAGTGAATTTAAATGCGTTTGACCGGGAACATTGGCACTAATCCTTCAACAACAATCTTTAATGTAATCCAGTAGTGGTTTTGTTCGGATTAAATTGAGATTAAAGCAAAGAATGCAAAGCACAAAAAGTGAACACATTTCCAACGAAATCCAAATAATTTACCTACATTCTCTATGGACATGATTCCGGCTCACCCTTTTAGTAAACGGCACGTAAAGTTAGATGAAAATGTCAATAAGATGAAGCTACAGGGAAACAGCCGGCATGGCTCCGTCCAACTAAACCGGCTCGTGTGAAACCTGCTTGTGAACAAAGCCACGATTGCTGTTTCCTTTCCTTTTCCTTTAAACTTGGAGAAGCTGTCAGAATATCCCTCAAACATGTGAACACATACCCAGCATGCACCTGAAGCGGTTCACGACCTTCCTGCTTGTTCTGCCAGCGTAGTGCGCGGGGGGTCTTCCTTTCGGGAATGTACCGTATGCTACTCCTCCACAGACCAGTGCCTCAACCATTGTGAGGTCCAGCAGATGATTCTGGCTTTCGGGAAGAAAGCAGGGAACGGACACTTGGTGTCCAGACGGTGCCACAGGCCTCCTGATGCGTCCCACCTCCACCTGTAGACCGTGGGAGAACTACTGTTACCCGTTGGCACATTGGGACCCTCTGGCGTGGCTACACACGCTGCCTGATGGAAATGTTGAAAGCCTGCACCCCTGGGTGGTCAGCCGGGGCGTATCCAATGCCCTCAGCTTTTACAAGTTGGACCAAGGGTCCCGTGGCTCTATAGGAAGATCTTGTTCTAGTCCCTGGAGGTCCCGTCTCGCTAAAGTAAGAACCCGCCCACCCAGTAGTGCCTGTGAGGATTCTACACGCATGCATTTCCATAAGAAAGACCCGGACTTGGCCTCGCCTCGACCCTGAGATCCCCTTCCACCCTCAGTGGCCCCGCCGTCTACTCCTCTGGCCTCGTAATGCCAGAGAGCCGCCCAGCCCAGGTCCCATTAACAGGGTGCAGATAAGCCAGGTCAAACAAGAAGATGTTAAAAGGGGGGGGTGGGAGTGCTGAGTGGGCCGGTGGGTGTCTCGACAAAAAGGCCCACTCAGAAGTGACCTCTGGCTTTGCTTTGGTGTCTTGAAATAAACAACAGAGCAAAGGAAGCTGTGGTGGACGAGGACGCTGTAAATCCTCGCAGAAATGCTGCACTCTGTATATTGTGGTCCTTGGTGTGTTGTTCTGCTCTGTGTGCCAGTAGTCAAGCACATACAGAATTAGAATATTACGCAGTACCGCCCTGTAGCACTTTAGAGGTAATTAAAATGAGCTCTTAAACAAATGGAGCTTCATTGTCTTCAGATGTGTTCGCGCATCGCTCATTCTGTCCGGTTCCCTTCAGTGGGGAGATCTGAGCAGAAAACACAGCTGAAAGCACAAGAGCCTGAATACATTATGTCTATAGAGATATAGGCTCATTATAATGCTTATTGTATTTTTGAAGCATTGGCAGTTGTTTGCTACTGGCATATGTGGTTCTTTTCTTTGTGTCTTGGGAATTAGAAAACAAATGCCTGTCGAAAAAACAATAATAATATAAAACTCAAGATAATGGTGACACTGCAGATTTAAAGACAAAAAGAGAGCTTAAATGACATACAATAAATCCTACACTAATAAAGGTCCGTCTGCCTTCACAACCACTGTAGGAAAAGAAAAGAAGCAAATATTAAACCCGGTCTCCACACAACACAAAGAAGAAGAGATGGAGACAAATCCCAGGGGTCTGATTCTTCCCGCTAACCCTGTTTAAAAGTCAGCCTAGCGCTGCGTGGGGCTCTGCAACGAAAGCAGAAGCCAGCGTGGCGCCGGGCTCCAACCGTTAAAATCAGCATCGTCGGAAAATGTCAGCCAGGTGAACGTTCATCGGGAGGCGAAGGCGTCATCTCGGCGTGCGCGTGCATTCCTTGCTTCTGCACATGTAGGCCTACTGAACATCCACACTGCGGGCGCACAGCTCGAATGCGCTGACACGGAGGCCTTTCACCGAGGGGCTCCTGCAATAACACACAGCAGAGAGGAGGTTCTCATCAGACGGCTAAAGTGCAACGACACCGACTCTTGTCTTTATCACCTCCCACCTTTTCTCGCGGGCTGTTTATTTGTCTCCTGCCTCCACCATCTGTATCAGTTCTTTTTATCAGAGCAGTAGAGAGAGGCAACAAGTTCGAAATGGTGGGTTAAACTGCACGGGGATTAAGGTGAACAGAAAAGGTGTCTTTCTGGATGCAGCCCTCCCGGACGGGGCAGGCTGCGACAGGCTGCGACAGGCTCAAGCGGCTCTATACGCATTGCATGCGAGGCGCTTTGCCTTCGTCCTGCTGGGGTGCATTTCGTGGCGGCAGAGCGGCTCCGCCGCCGGGCTGAAGGACACAGAAAAAGGAAAAGGGGCAGATGAGGCGTGAAAAAACACAACCTGAGAGTAGAGCAAAAAAAAAAGAAAAAAGAATAGAATAAGCGAAGGGGGTGGCTTTTTTAAGTTGTGTCCGCTGTCCTTTACCATCACCGTCGATGGTTCCTGCTCTGTCCGTTGGCTCTTCACGTGCTGACACAATCTACCCGCGCTGAGCTTCGCTTGGACTGAAATAACTCCGGGCACGTTCCAGGATGACAAAGCGCTCTGCACAGGGCCGATGACTCATGCAGGCTTTCGGGAGGAAGGTTGCTATTAATACGAACACGTTGTATGGCAGAAAAGAAGAATATCACTGCGGGTTGTATGCATGCATAAAAGTTTAAGCCTCAGACGCTAACAGGTGGGTTGCAGCAGTGATGCAGCTCGTGTGTGTCTGTGCACATGCATGTGTCTTTGTAGTGCTGTTGTCACAGACAAGGAAAGGAAAACTACACACGGCCTCGAGAGAAGACGTCACAGACACCTCTACTACTTTGCACACACGGCTCATTTATAAATCATCTTACGGTTAAATGTGTTTATTTGCAAAACATTTTCCTTGCACTAGAAGAGAAAATCTCCTCTGGATGTGATTAGCGGTACTGGCTATCAAACATTCCGATGAGTTCAAGTACTCAAGTAGCGTGCAGTCGACATGCAGGGTGAATAACGTTCCAACAGACCCTCTGCTGTGCTCAGTCTGCACTCTTGCTGCTCAGAGACAGAGAGGAATAGCCGAGGCAGAGCAAAGAGACAGAGACGGGGGACAAAGACAAGTCAAAGTCTCCCAGGGACCTTTTGTTTGCTCTGTACTCTGAGTTTGGAAAAAGGAAGCTGTCCAAAGCTGAAAATCATCCATTCCAGTTTCCTGTTTGCAAATCCCACCGGGTTGTCACCGTCCGCTGGGATTCCCAAGGATTTCCTATTTGGCAGCGTGCACTCCTCCAAACACAAATCAGAATGTAGAACCGGCATCCACATGAACCTCGTGCACAACGGGAATATACATCTTCACATAATAACTGACTGGCAGACTGTGAACCATTTCAATCTGGCTCAAATTGTTTCCCGCACAACACAGATTTAAATTGTCACATCGTATCAAGGTGCATTGGAAGCACCATCAAAAAGATATACACGTATCTGCGTACTACGCAGGTCAGGAGTTGTTTCCGTAAATGGTGATACATCTTCATCTTTTATCTACTCAAAGAGGAGAAATGTGAGAGACTACACGCTCCTGTAAAAATAACTCTTGCAGGGGGGTAAAAGAGAAGAGGAAGTCCACAATGCAGACATCAGCACCTGCAGTGTGTGAAGTGATGAGAGTGAGTGAAAAAACATCGGCAACCTTATAAAAGGTAGAATTCTAAGAAGGAGAAGGTCCTCATTCAAACCCTTCAGATTGATGACTTCAAAGGAGCAAAAAGCATGTTTGAATATGTAATCGAACAGTTTGTTCCAATGTAATTTGTTTCTCTGATTAACACTGAAATAGGTTTTACTTATTTCTTTACAAATATGTCTTCACTGCCATTGTATTACTCCATTTAAATGCTTTTGTAGTTACACGAAGAGAAAAGGACATCCGGTGTTGTATGTTGTTACCATCCCATATTCATACTGGATACACGTTTATGGTCATAACGCAAAGCTTTGCAAGGGACTCGCGCTGCATCAGGCTTTCTCAGTCGTACGTCTCTCAGTGTTACAACTCTGCAGTGGATGACAGTTTATATCAAAGAGAAAAACAACATAAGCTTCCCTTTCTCTTACTGCAGTGTTACAAAAGAAAAATCCATACACGGCCGAGTCTCTCCTGCAGTATTTAGGTCGATCTACTGAAACCTAGAGTGAGAGTCTCACTATCGCTGCGGTTTTAACCTAAATTCCACAACACTTGAGCTGGTATAAAAATAATATTGGCAGTCGTGTGTGTGTGTGTGTGTGTGTGTATCTGTGCTTTCACATGTGAAATCTGTGCTAGTTGCAGTGGGCTGCAAACCCTTTACATAAGAAAGAGGTTCATTGTCTATTTGTGGGAATCTCAGCTAACCTGCCCTTATTGCACAATGATGAATTATCACCCACGTAACAGGTGTCCAAGTATCATGTTATCATTTCTATTGTTTACTGTGACGCACGACGAATAATTAGAAAAATACCACCTTGAACTACCCAACTTAACAGTTATTACTTTGACATTTTAACTGTTTTTTAAATGCACCGGAGCATTATTACAACTCACTTCCCAGCAAAAGCACTTTATGACAAATACTAATTGACTGACAGAAGGCTGTAAATAAAGCAGAGTTAGTCATATTCACCCTGAAGAACTTTCATTTTGATAAGGGGTTGTGTTTACAGTCTCTAGAGAACCTGTAAAGCTCAATGTTGGTGCGTTAAACTTTAAAGAAGAGCCGCGTGAGTTGTTTTCTTCTGTTTCTGTTCTATTCCCATGTTGCAGCTGCAGCTCAAAAAGGAATGTTTTCCCTCGTAGGATGTCATTGCTGCTGGGGATCGTACTCTGCTGCGTACATGGGATTTAAGGTGAAAACACCAGGAATAACTGCAATAATACTGTGACTAATACATCTCACGTTTGTCAGCCGCCGGTGGAAGGAGACAAGCTGACAGCCGTCAGTGCTTCCAGCGCTGTCAGTCCAGCAGCCCTTTGGCATTTCCGCCAGCCGGACCCCATGTGGACAGAGAGGGACAGTTGGGAGCATGAGGAGACTCCGGGAGCCGCGGATATCGTCCCTTTCTAACAGCGATCACCTTCGTCTCTCAGCACGACAGACGGAAGCGGCCTAAACTACGGATGATAACGTCCATCAAGCTATAACACACAATAAATATTTCGAGGTGTTTTTTTTCTTTCTGATTGTGCCTTAATATCCTCTAAAGACATCTGAACTGCTTTGTTTTCATTGCTCAAAGGAATGGAAGTTCAGGTGGAAATAACAACCACCATCTGCCAGTTTCGATTGTCCAGATTTAATGCCTTTAAGAAACCACAAGGATGTGACTAACAACTATTTCTAGCTCTAAACCTCTGCTCAAATGGAAAAAAAAACCGTTGACCATTAGTCAAAGCCAGTGAATGCAAATGTATAATAGCTATTTAAATGTTATGCACTACAATGGGGAAACAATGTTACAACGCCAGGGAATGCAAATGTATAACAGCTATTGAAATAATAAGTAAATACAATAGGGTTCTACGAGTTCTACACAGGGGACGAACTGCTTTTACCCCATAAAGGCATAGTGTGTCGCTGAACGAGGAATTAATCCCTGAGAAGATGGAATCAGCCGACACAGAAGCAAAGCCGTACTCCTTTGACAAAAAAAAAAATCTTACCCCGCAAAACAATGAAGTTGCCATTCCTCTTATTTGTTTCATTGGGTGATTTGGGTTTTTTAAAAGCTCAGTTAAGGTTCAACTAAGCGACATTTGACCCTTGAGCTGGTGAAACGTTGCGCTGTTGCTCTCGTCCACAGCAGTTCTGTACTTTACTTCTCCTGCCTGCTCCTCCAAACAGCAGGCGAGCTCACTGGTGGGTGATAGATGAGTTAATGATTGTTAATGGCCAGCAGTGTGTTTCGACAGAAAATAAAATAAAAGCCTGTTCACTGATGTGAGTAATGTGCACGGCGGACTGGGAAACCGTAATTAAATGGTGGTTGTGGTCGGTGAAAAAAACCCGCGAGATTGTTGATGAAGCTTTCAATAACCGGACTATTCTGATTTGAACTTCCTGCGGCTATGTTCTAGTTCTGACATTGTTCATAATTGTGGAACAGGAAAAATGTATGACTTGATTTCTCCTTCCTTCCTCGGTCCTATTTCAAGGATATACTGTATGAATATGAATATGCTAACGCTGGTGAAACTGGCTTGCGAGGTCTTGATGGGGCTCATTTTTGGAAAGTGTCGTCTCCTTATTGTAAGGAATCACGGCATAATCTAAAAATCTTTTTCCTGCTGTAAAGCTGACTGGAGAAATAATTGTTATTTTTTCGCCAGGAAAACATCCTGCTTTGCTATTTTCTTTTTTTTTTTTTTTACTTCAAATCAAGCTCAAAAGAGACAAGTAATCTCACGAAGAATATCCCACGGCGAGGCTGTTAGATTGAACCCAGCCTGGATAACAACGTCTATGGGTGGAATCTGCCAGATAAGTCTGTATCGAGCCACTGAAGCAGGTACAACATCACGTCTGTGGATCCCCACGTTTATTTGTGGCAGCCGCATAAGTGGTCAGTAACAGTTAATCTGGACAAGGTTATAATATGAATTCACAAGGCTGCTGCAAGGGGGGGGGGTATTGTTCTCTATGAGTAGGTGCTGATGAAATTTTGAGTGCGAGTGGTGAATTATTTAAGAGGGAGGATTATTAAAGCGGCTTCTTGGCGCGTTGCTTGCGGGTATGAATCGATATGAGCCCCCCCCCTCCCCCGCATCCTCCCCACCGAACTCCCCCTCCCCCCCTATTTCTGTCCCAGTCTGAACAGAAGTGGCGACACATGGCCGCGGGACGAGCCAGACTGGGCAGCCAGATGCACTGTGCCTGTGCGCGCACCAGGCTTGATGAAATA